TAACTAGCTCAGCAGCTCCATTGCCGAAGATCCCCCTGTGGCTGCCCAGGCATCAGAGGAGGCAGCTGCTGGTCCTGCCAGGATGGCCCTCAGGAGCCCCTCCCGCCCCTGTAGGTGTTGCTGCTTCTCCCCTGGCAGAGGGCCATCCAGCTGCTGGGCTCACCCTGAGAGCCCCGGGCAGACCTTGCTCCAGGCCTCTGCGCCAGGCCCTGGCCAGCTGCCCCAGGGGACACCGGGGCGCGCGACGGTCTCCAGGCATGCTCAGCTGCTGGAGAGGCAAACAGGTTCACCAAAAACCAGAAAAAAAGAGCCATCACCAGAGTCAGCACATGGTGTACCAGCTGAGCTCTTGCCCCATGCCAGGCACGGGGCTAAGCATTTCCACATGTTGTCCTGCCGAAGCCTTCTGCAGCCCTCTAAGGCGGCTTTCCCCCCTCAGACACACAAGGGACCCGAGGCTCATTGAGCTAATGTGGTGTGTGTGTGTGTGTGTGTGTGTGTGTGAGTGTGTGTGTGTGTGTGTGTGTGTGTGAGTGTGTGTGTGTGTTGAGGTGGGAGTGAGGTGTGTGGGTAGCTGTGCCTGGGGGTACTGGGGGTGGAGGCCAGGTAGGTGTTCTGGGCACAGGTAGGGAGGCTGGCAGAGTTGAGCAGGCAATCCGGGGGGATGTTTCTGGAAGAGGAAACAGCATGGAAAGAGGCTGAGGGGGAAGGGTTCAGAGGCAACAGGTTGGGGCTGCTGGGTGGTGGAACACGCAGGCGGAGAGGCCCTGGAGACTGGGTGAAAGGGCAGAGCCAAGTCTAAGCAGGAACCCCCTTGGGCTCCTGACTCACAGTAACCCAGGTTCCCTGATTCCTCAGGAGAAGGCTGTCTCAGACCCGGTCCACGTGGGGAGGAGGTGGCCCCAATCCCGCAACAGGGAGTGAGGTGGGGCCCTCAGGGCCAAGGCCGGATTACCTACAGCTCAGGCTGGGCCTGGCTGGTTCCAGTCCCGAGAGAACCCCCTTCCCTGGGGGCCAGCCCAGAATTATGATAATGGCCACTCCATCTTCACTGTTTATCCAACACGTGCCGTGCCAAAAGCTCAGGCCTGTGGAGACACATAGAAAAGGGACTGCATTTTATTATTATCTTAACAAATATATGTCTATTGATTTCAGACAGGAAGGGAGTGGGAGAGAGAGAGATAGAAACATCAACGATGAGAGAAAATCATTGATTGGCTGCCTCCTGCAATCTCCCCTTCCTCATTGGGGACTGAGCGCCCCTGACCGGAATCGAACCGGGGACCCTTCAGTCCTCAGGTCGACTCTCTATCCACTGAGCCAAACCAGTCATGGCAAGGGATTTCAGTTTTATTAAACTATGTAACATATATAACATTTACTATATGCCAGGCATATGTCATAATACAAAAGATGTCCCAAACATTAACTCTTGTAATCCTTAAAACACCCATTAGGTATAATCCCCATTGAAAGAACGAGAGAGAGGCCGAAAAACCAGGACTACGGGAGAAGGACCTGCCGGGCTGTCTCGCAGGGGAGAACAGCAACACGTACAGGGTGAACACGCCTTTTGAGGGGAGGAAAGGGAAGGGATGGAGCTTAGGGTACTTGGCACACACTGATTGGTGGTTTCATATAAGGCACATGAGTAGGCACTTAGGGTCTTAGGAATTGGGGGCTTAGGGTATTTGGCAGGTGCTGATTGGTGGTTCAATGTCCAGTCCATATAAGGTGCCTGGTCATGTGCTCAGGAATGCCCAGACCACAGGTGCAGGTTACATCATACTCCATCCATCAGTTGGGGGAAGGGAGGGTCTATCACCCATCTTATTTATTTATTATCCCCATTTTACAGGTGAGGAAACTAAGGCTTATAGATTTAAGCAACTTGCCTACTAAGGTCATAAAGAAGTGGAGGAGATGGGATCCGAGGCTCCAGTATCCAGGCGTCTAACCACCGTGCTTTGCTAGTGGGAGCAAGAATACATACCCTGGTGTAAAAACTCCCATTTCACAGATGGAAAAACTGAGGCCTATCCAGACGAAGGGACTGGCTGGCTCACAGGGAAGCAGGGAGGACAGATCACCTGAGTGAGAAAGCAGGGCTCCTGATCCCAGCCGAGGCTCTGTCCTGGTTCCCACTGCAAGCCCAAGTGATAGCTGGAGAGAAGCTGAGAGCCCTCCTGGCTCCCTGGCACCTTCTATCTCCTTGGGGTCCCTTACGGGCCCAGCGGGGGAGAAAAACAATAAGATTACAATTCCGACACCATCTTCTTAAGGACAAAAGCCAGTTATGCCCACAGTTAGCCTCCCTTCCCCTTTAATTGTCCCCCCACCCCTTTTCTGATTACCAAAGGATAGATGAGCATTGTAGAAAACTTCCCAAAGATCAGATTTTAAAAAAAGAGAAGAAAGAAAAAAAATCATCTTAATACTCCTTTTTGGATACTGCTAGATTTTCAAGATTTCTTTGCTCCCTCTGTGTGTGTTTTTTTTTTTTTTTTTTTTTTTTTTTTTTACACATTCATGCTGGGAGGCCAGAGACTGGGTTTCTTGTCCTGGCTTGCTGTGTGCCTTGGGCAAGCCCCTGGCCTTCTCTGGGCCACATGTCACCTGTGAAATGAGAGTTTGGACATGGTGACCTCAGAGGAGGCCCCTGGCCGCTCCGACCTTCTGTTACCGCTTCTGTTTCTGGAACTGGCAGAAGGGGCACAAGCAGGCTGCCCGTCTGCGGGAGATGCATGGCTGACAGCTCGCAGCACGTCACCTCCGGGAGGCCGTGCCGGCCCTACAAACAGCCGCCATGGCCGGCACTGCGTTCCCAGGCCTGCCTGCTTCACTGGGCCCATATGGTGCCCCCTGCCAGCCGGACGCCACCAGCTGCCCTTCACCGGCCAGCCCGGAGTGATTGCTTTTCCAACAGGCTCCAGAACGTTCTCTCTGCTGTCCCAGGACCCAGCTGATTTGGGGAGATGGGGAAGGGCTTAGCCCTAAGGCCCTACCTACTCATGGCCACAGCCCTTTGTGGGAGAAGGCATTCTGGGGTGGTGAGAAGCTGAGGAGAGAGGGAGGGAAGAGGAGAGGAAGGAAAGGAACATTTCCAAGGAAAGGTTATTCCAACTCCATTTGGGCCTCTTGTTAGGCATCTGGATTCAGAAAAACTTAACTGCCCTTGAAGGACATAAGGTCTAGACGGCGTGAGAAGCATAGAAACAGATAGCAGCGCTCTAACTGGTTTGGCTCAGTGGATAGAGTGTGGCCTGCAGATCCGAGGGTACCAGGTTCAATTCCAGTCAAGGGCATGTACCTTGGTTGCGGGCACATCTCTCTCGTTGATGTTTCTAGCTCTCTCTCTCTCCCTTCCTCTATATAAAAAAATCAATAAAATACATGTTTTTTAAAAAAAAGAAAGAAAAAAGAAACAGACGGCAGCAACACTTGCCATGCCCAAAGCTCGGGCCTGCGGGGTCCCATAGGGAGAAGCCGAACCAGTGGGTGATAGTCAGGGAAGGCTTCCTAGAGGAGGCAACCTGACCAGGTGAGTTCTCCAAGACAGGACACAGCCTTTCCAACTCTTACTTAATCCTCCAGACCGCCCCAGGGAAGAGCATCGGTTCCCCCTTACAGACAAGGCTCAGAAAGGTGAGCTCACAACCACCAAAGGGTTCAAACCACATTTGGGTTCAAACCCCGGCACTCTACTCCTGCCCCTGGACCTGGGTTTGAATTTGACCCCAGTCTCTAACTCAGAGACCCGCAGTGAGTGCTTCTCTCCTGGCCCCTGAGCTATTCCCTGCAAAACGGGGCTATTGCTGGCTGCAGCGGGGTTGGAATGGCCAGAAAAGCATGTAATTTATATTCAACGGAGAGAGGAAACCTCAGCAAGGCCTCTAACAGCTGGAGGCAGCACAGCCCAGTCTCTCCCCAGACACAGAAGCAGGACTCCTGCCTTGGGGCCAGGCGCAATCCCAGAGGCTGGTTTGCCTTGCTGAGGCACCCCATCTACGGTAGAAGCAGCCAGAATATATGTGCTCTCCTTTGGACTCCCTGTGGCAAAGCCTGATGGGATGGCACAGGACCCTAGAGAGAACTGTAAATCCTGGAGTTAGAACATCTGTGCTTGAATTCTAGCACCCAGACTCCCCTCCAAGTGCCTCCTAGCAGGCAGGGTGTGTGTCATGCTGCACTGGCCCTGGCAGATAAGAAGGGTCACTAGAGATAGGACTTCCCAGGTAAAGATGAAGACCCAGATAGGGAAAGGACTTGTCTGAGGTCACCCAGCAAGTCGGAGCCAGAGCCAAGGCTGCTTTCCCTCAGAGCACAACACCCAGGCCATACCATCTGGAGGCTATTTGAGGAGTGGGGTTGGCATGGGGCCACCCAGCATGCCCAGGTGATACCAGGGAGCAGCCTGGGGGCTACTGAGCTGGTGAAGTGCAACTGTTATGTTCCTACCCCGTTCCCAGCCAAGTTCCACAACCTCCACCTCTCATTCTAAGGCTCCCGCTGTCCGAGGCGTATCCCTCCTCTTGAGCATGACCCTTCTCTCCAGCCTTCAGTCTCCACTTTTCTAAAAAACGGTCTCCAAGTGCCCTAACGCTACAGGGTCTGGACATCCTAGGCTCCCGCCTCCCGCGGCGGGGGAAGGCGGCTCGAGAGCCTCAGACTCCTATGGGGTGAGTCATCAGGGTGCTGGAGAGAGAGGAAAAGAGGGGGCCTTCTGGGGCTCCCTACCTTAAAGGATCTTTTGTCTGGACTGCCTGAGGGACCGGGGCAAGGACCACGCGGGGCGGGGCGGGGCGGGGCCTGGCGACTGTGGGCGGGGCCTGGGCGGTCAGTGGGCGGGGCCTGCCCGGCCTCGCCCCGCCCCGTCAGACGTCGGTGCGGACGGGCGCTGGGAGGGGAGGAGCGCGGGGCCCACGCGCCGCCCGGCCCCGGAGGAAAGTTTTCCCGGCGGAGTTTCGGTGGCGGCGGCGGTGGCGTCCGGAGCGGCCATGGACGCGCTCAAGTCCGCCGGGAGGGCGCTGATCCGGAGCCCCAGCCTCGCCAAGCAGAGCTGGGGGGGCGGCGGCCGGCACCGGAGTGAGTGTGTGCGCGGCCGGGGGGGGGGGGGGGGGGGGGGGCGGACCAGGGGTCAGGCCGCGGGGCTGCCTCCTGCGGGCGCCCAAGGGAGAGGCGGGCCTGACCCGCGTGCTGACCCGCGTCCTGCGGGGCGAGGGAGCCGCTGGGTCAGGTTTGCCTCTCCCCCCGAGCCCGCTCCGTGCAGCCGGGCCGCGGGGACCGAAGTTGGGGAAAGAGGCCGGAGCCACAGTGGGACGGGGTTGCAGGTCCGGAGCAGAGACCTGCGCGTCCCCCGCCGGTTCTCCACCCGCCGCCCTGGGCAGCTGGGGGAGGCGGGGCGCAGCCTCGGGGCCCGGGGTGGGGGGGCCGTGGAGAGGGGGCGCTGCGACCGGGCCGTGGAGAGGGGGCGCGCACCCCCTGGCCCGTGCGCCCCCTCCAGCGGTCCAACCAGGAGTCATCTTCTGACCCCGGGACACCCAGAAACCGCCCCAGGTCTGCGCCCCGCCTCGCAGGCACCCACTTGAAGTTGGGTCGAGGTGAGCCTGGGGTCTCAGGGGGGGCCACCCACCCGGCCATGGAGACCCCTTGCCCCCGCCGCTGGCCCAGTCCAGGAGCTGTTCTCCCTCGCACCGTCCCCCGCGGGCTTCAGGGTCCCCGAGCACCCAGGCGGCCGGCAGACTCGCCAGCACCTCTCCCCGGGGCGCCTGGGCGGGGCCTGCCCGCCCCCCCCCCGGCCCCCCCTCCCGGGCTCGAGTTACTCAAGGGAGCCCGTCACCTGGCGCCTTCCCCTGGGGCCTGAGAAACCCAGCCTGAGTCCCCAGGACACACCGGTGGCTTGCCTCCCTGGTGGATGGAGCCAAAGCCGGCTCCCACACACCGCCACCCCCTGCCACCCCCTGGCCTCTCCCCGGGAGGAAACCTGTGACAGCGCAGTTACAACACCGCCCCCCGCCCCCTTCCCTTCCCTCCGCCCCGGGCGCAGCCAGAGTGAAGTGCCCGCAGCCCGGAGTGCCAGCGTGTCTGGGCCTGGAGAGCCGCCTGCTCCTCCTCCCCTGCGGTGCCAGCTGTGGTCTCCCAGGCCCAGGCTGGCATGGGGAGCCGGGCGGGTGGGTGGGGGTGGGGGCAGACCCGTTAGGGCCAGGCATGCACCGTCTCCCACACTTAGGACTCCAGAAGAGCCCCTTTAAATGTCTGTGGGGTTGGACCAGGACTTCTGAGGATAATGAACTGTTCTAGTGGGCACACCCTGCCATTTTCTCTTGGGATAAGGGAAGGAGGGAGGAAAAGGGGGGGGGGGGGCAGCTGGGCAAGAGAAGGAAACATAGAAACCCCTCTGATCTGGAGACCTGGTTGGTGAAAAAGAGTTTCTCCTGCCTGCTCTGATCTCGGACAAGACACTTGCCCTTTATTGATCCTCAGCTTCTTTGTTTATAAAAAGGGTATAAAAATTCTAACCTGGCAGGGGTGTTGAGGAGGTTATTGATAATCATACTTCCTTCTGGCACCAAGTTGGTGGTTTTCTTTTCCCCCACTCCCCTTCACCCGCCTGTGATGTGTGCATTGCACACGACTGTTACTGTGGTGGAGCGAGTTTTGGGGAAGGGGGGGGGGGTCCTCAGAGCCTGTCTGTACTTGCAGAAGAAAGGAGAGGAGAGCCCTTCCCTCCTGTTGACCCCAGTACGCCCAGAGTGCTGTTCTGGGGCTTTGTGGACCCAGGATGATCTTGCTCGAATCCCTACCCGCCCCTCATTCTAAAGTCTCAGTTTCCTCATCTGTAAATTGTAAATAGCGGTAGTAGTATCTACATCATATTTGGGCAGTGGGGGCGGGGTGGAGGTGGGGGACTAAATGAAATGGTGTTTTGCCTGGCACAGAGAAAGAGTTTGATAAATAGTGACTACTGCTTTTGTCATTTTAAAAAATGCACGTTTTTGTTGATTTCAGAGAGGACAGGGGGAGAGAGATAGAAACATCAATGATGAGAGAGAATCATTGATCGGCTGCCTCCTGCACGCTCTCCCTACTGGGGAGTTAGCCTGCAACAGCATGTGCTCTGACTGGGAATCGAACCCAGGACCTCCTGGTTCATAGGTTGACAGCCAACCACTGAGCCACACCGGCTGGGCTGCTTTGTCATTAATGTTTTACACAGTATTTTTATTTACTTTTATTTCATTTGCTCCTGTGAGGTGACAGCAAGGATTCTTACCAGACTCATTTTAGAGATAAAGGAACGGGCTCTGTGAAGTGGAGTCACAGACCGGCACATCCCCAGCCCAGTTGTCGACATTGTGCCTCATGGACTCTGGCCCTGGGAGGAGCAGGTGCAGGCCCATCCCAGGCTGGGCTGCAGCCCTGAGGACAGTGGTGGCCACAAGATAGAGAGGGAAGCTGAGGGGGTCTGGGTGGGATGTGGGGACAGCCTGGCCTGGGGTGGTGTTCCAACCAGACCTTAGTCTCAGACCTTGAGGGCCAGGCTGTTTTGAGGCCAAACTGAAACCAGAGGAATTAGGGGTACACTTGACACCTCCTGTCAGCTGTGACCTGCTCCTCACCCCTCAAGGTCCTCAGCTGCGATTAGCACGATTATTGTTTTATTTGTGGAGAAACTGAAGCTCAGAGAAAGAAGGAAGATTGCTTGCGATCACACTGCAAAGCCAGGACCCCAAGCTTCTTTGCACTGAACCTCACGGTTCCGTCTCCCAGTTAGTCCTAGCGTCAAAGGGGAGACTCCCTCTCCCACATGTGGCTTTCCCCCGTCTCTTCAGGAGCCTTAACACTTTCATTTCAGCCCTGGCCAGGGGTTTTCCTTTCCTCCAGCTCTCCGGAGGGAGACGCCCCCGGTCCCTCAGTCCCCTTTCTTCAGGAGGGTCCCTCTGACCCTGGGCTCCTTCGTGGGTGGTGCCAGCCTATCACAGAGCTCAGTGAGAACAGCTAAAGGAATAGAAAGCTATTTCATGGTGGAGGGCAGGGGGCAGAGGATCTAGTCCTACTTATCTATGATAATAAAATCATTATATGCTATAATAATTAGACCAGACAGTTGAACGACCTTCTGGGCATCCTTCCTGACGGAACTGGGCCGAGGCAGAGGTGGTTAGGAGCTATCAGGCAGGCAGGTGAGTGGTTAGGGGCAATCAAGCAGGCAGGCAGAGTGGTTAGGGGCAATCAGGCAGGCAGGTGAGTGGTTAGGGGTGATCAGGCAGGCAGGAGAGTGGCTAGGGGTAATCAGGCAGGCAGGCAGAATGGTTAGGGGAGATCAGGCAGGCAGGAGAGTGGTTAGGGGCTGTCAGGCAGGCAGGCAAGTGGTTAGGGGTGATCAGGCAGGCAGGAGAGTGGTTAGGGGCAGTCAAGCAGGCAGGCGAGTGGTTAGGGGCGATCAGGCAGGCAGGAGAGTGGTTAGGGGCAGTCAAGCAGGCAGGCGAGTGGTTAGGGGCGATCAGGCAGGCAGGAGAGTGGTTAGGGGCAGTCAAGCAGGCAGGCAAGTGGTTAGGGGCGATCAGGCAGGCAGGAGAGTGGTTAGGGGCAGTCAAGCAGGCAGGCAAGTGGTTAGGAGTCAGCGGTTCCGGATTGTAAGAGGGATTTCCAACTGCAGGCAGTCAGACATCCACCGAGGGGTCCCGGATTGTGAGAAGGTGCAGGCTGGGCTAAGGGACCCAAACCCTTCCCCCGCCCCCGTGCATGAATTTCATGCACTGGGAATCTAGTTTTTTAATATTTACCATAAAAGATATAAACAAACACTCAGACTAATACTTACGGAGCACTGACTGTGTCAGTCACTGATGGAGGCGTTGGGGAGTCTGGTGAGCGAGTTGGTCTCCCTTCAGATAGTGCTTACTGCCTGGAGGAGGAGGCAGGTTGACCAGGGTGCAGATGGTCAGATATTTTGTGGGCAGTGGTGATGCTATGAAGAAAGAGAAAGTGGGGTGAAGAAATGATGGGAACAGCTTCTTTACCTAGGGTGGTGTTTTCATTTGGATTTTTCTAGAAGCAGATGCTGAGACAAAGATTTGAGTGTAAGCCCTGGCCAGGTAGCTCGGTTGGTTAAGCATCATCTTGATATGCCAAGGTTACGGGTTTGATCCTTGGTCAGGGCACATACAAGAATCAACCAATGAATGCATCCTGAGTAAGTGGAATTACAAATCGATGTGTCTTTTTCTTGCTCTTTCTTCCTCTCTCCTCTCTCTCAAATCAATACATTTTTAAAAAGATGTGAGTACAAGTCGTTTATTTGGGAAGAGGCCCCAGGAAACAGTGTGAGGAGAAATGAGGGGAGTCCAAAAAGTGAACTCTGAATACAGCAGATCCTCAGGTTACGTCGGAGATCCGTTCCTTCGGAACCCACCTACACAAGCACCCACGTCACTCACAGGGAGCACATGCACAGCGGTAATGAAGTGAAACAGTAAAAAAATTAAGAGAAAGATAATTTCTGACCTTTACTTGTGGTAAATAAATAATAAAAAAACATAAAGCACATAGGTACATACGTCGAAATGACGGAACTTTTTTTTTTTTTAATACATAAATGGGAGATGGTGACGTACCCACCACCAAACGGCATGCATATGTTGAGTCCGATGTAACCCAGGTCTGTCTGTAATCTAACCCCCTTGCCCCGGGGGGAGAGGGGGGCGGGTGTGACTGCAGGCAGTCCCGTGGGGAGCGCTGGGAGCAGGTGTGCCATAGAATGCGCTCTGCGTTTACTGTTGGAGGGGCCGTGCCGTCTGGGGTGGGTGCAGGCTGCTGGGGTGGGAGCTCCAATGCCCCAATGCCCAGTCTGCATCTCCAGCAGCCAGAGAGAGCTGCAGGCTGAGTGGAAGATGGTACCCACCGAGGCGATAGATAGGGCACTGGGAGTGTCCGGGCAGGACGTCAGGGCGGGCCCCTCGGAGAAGGTGACTGTAATACATGATGAATACAGGAGAGGAGTCTGGGAACAGCATTCCAGCAGAGGGAACAGCAAGCACGAGGAACATTAAACCGGAGACTGGGACTCCGCTCCTCACAGGTCTGACAGCGGAGGGGTATGTGGCTTGAAGGAATCAGGTCACCTCCTGCCCACTGAGGGTGAGCCAGACACCCTTCAGGCAGTCCTGCAGGGCAGTGTGCCCGCCCCTCCTGGGTGGGCCCGGGTCTGACTCCTGCCTCGCATAGCAGAGGGTGCGGGGGGCTGCAGGTGTGGGTGAAGAGACCCAGCACTGTCAGTTATGAGCCATGGCCAGACTCCTCTGAGCTGCTTTACCTGTGAAACGGGAATCCTGCTACAAATGGCTGTGTGCATTAAAGCTCTTTGCACTTGACTCTGGAAATGACAGTAGCTCACACTTCAGTGGCACTTGGTATGTACCAGGCATGGTTCTGAGCCCCCCTCATGGGTGAGCTCCTTCCATCCTTACAACAGCCCCGTGGGGTGGTGAGTGTTACTATCCCATCAAGTGAGGAAACGGAGGACCAGGGAGGAGGAGGGACTAGGAACCCCACAGCTCATATCCGAACCCCATCATTTAACCTTGATGGCGTCTTTTTCTTGTATCGTGTAAATAGGTACTTATGATAGCTGCTGCCATTTTTAGAATTTTCTCTTGAAAATATTAACAACTTAAAAAAATTAACTGATGAGAGAGAGAGAAGCATCGCTTTGTTCCACTTATTTATGCACTCCTTGGTTGGTTCTTACATGTGTCCTGACTGGATATCGGACCCACGACTTTGGTGAATCAAGGAAACACTCGAACCAACTGAAATGAACAATTTCCAAGATTTGCCCAGCACTTTGCACATCCTGAACATTTCTCTGTTGATGCCCCGGAGGGACTGGACCCATTTTAAAGAGACCACGGCCTAGAGAAGCAGCCGCACTCCAGTCACAGCAGAGCCTGAGTCTCCGGAGATGTCCCTCTGAGGGCTCTGAGGCGGGCTCCCCTCCAGGCTGGGGGAGGAGCCCCAGTCAGAGGTCCCTCCTCTCCCTCCGGCCATGGGTTTGGCTGCAACGCTGACATTTCACAGACCAGCCAGGTCAGGTCACTGGCTCAGCAGAAGGGCACAGGGCACCCTACCCAGCTCTGCCTCCTGGGCAGGAGGCCTTCGTGCGGATGGAGCACACGTCTGCAGCCTCGAGTTAGGCTGGGCAAACGGTCTGTCCCCATCTAACTCTGAGAGCAGGTCATCTGTGAAACGGCAGCGTTAAAACAGCCTAGTCATTACCCACCGCAGGGCCAGAAATAACCCGGCCGGAACAGGGCTGTGCGCTCAGGCCTGTATTTTGTCTGGGGCCCTCTGGGAGCTCCTCCCGCCCGTCTGAGGCGGCTGGGTGGAGAGCGTGGCAGGGACCCTCCCCTCTGTGAACAGAGAGCCCCTGAGGGCTGGTTTCTTGACGAGGGCGAGGGCAGGAGAGAACGGAGCTCATTACGGAGAGGAGGAGAGGAGTCGTGCCCAGAACTGGAGAAGAGGAGCCTGGCTCCCCGGCGTGCGGGAGGGTCTCTGCTGCCCCGGAGGCGGGGGCATGGGAGGGGGTGAGGGAGGAGGAGGACAGGCAGGGCAGCAGGCCGGGCAGGAGGGCACCTTCTGCAGACCAGTTTCTGGGAGGCAGGCAGGAATGGGAGCCCTCTAACAGGAAGACACATGGCGGGCAGCTGCGGGGCTGTGGGAGGGAGAAAGGGAAGTCCACACTCAGAGGCAGGAGCAATCCAGTGGCAGGAGGGAGGAGGCCCTGACGGAGACCTTGGTCAAAACAGCCCTGAAAGCTGGGGCTGTTGTCTTTCTCTTTACAGATAAGAAAACTGACGCCCGAGGAAGGTAATTTGCTCAAGTCTACTCAGTGTCAAAACTGGGATTCTAGGACTGAGGCCCTCGCTCTTAACCATTAGGCATCCTGCCTCAAAGAAGGCTTCCTGGAGGAGGCTGGATGTGAGGGGTTTCGGGCCAGGGAGGGCAGGGGCATTTGTGGTAGAGAGAACCACTTGGGCAGAGGCACAGAAGTGGGAAAGTGAATGCCACACCATGAGGAAGAAGCTCTGCCTGGTTAAAACGTGTGTGTGTGTGTGTGTGTGTGTGTGTGTGTGTGTGTATGTGTGTGTGTGTGTGTGTGGTGGAGAGAGAGATTTGGGGGAGAAGTCGGGGAACCTGTAGCCCCCCAACAGTCATTGTAGGAATTGCCTGTAGTGGATTGGGAGTTGGGGGTCCCTTTACTTGATGACTTGGCACAAGTCCCATTCTTCTCCAGGCTCAGTTTCATCACCTGCCAAGGGAGAGGTTTGGGCAGGAGGTCTCGGAGGCTGGAGAGTGGCAACCTGTCCGCCAGGGCCCTCTTCCAGGAGGCCGCGACTAGGGGAAGGGTCAGGCCAGGGAAGGAGGAATGCAGAAAAATGTCAAGCATCTCAGAGTTCAAGGAGGGCCGGGGAATGTTTTGACAGCAAAGAGGTTGTCTGTGACCTTGGCAAGCTTGGGCCCTTTGGAATGGAGGGAGCGGAAGTGGCTTTGGACACGGACCAGGAAAGGCTGAGCTGGAGGAAATGGGAGAGTGGGAGGCATGATAATGGTGGTGGGGGGGTGTTTGCCATAGGGCAGTGATGGATAGTGAGATGAACAAGACCATCCCTGATCAATTGGTATTGCCTGCCTGGAGCCTTGTGTTGAGGAACAGCCCAAAGCCTGTAAATCAGAGGGAATAGAGAGCTACAGTTGATTAGCCATGTCTGCCAAGGACACCGAGACAAGCATGGCAGTGCGTACGTTGCCCTCCTTAGATGGATTTCTGGAAATGGTCTAAGGAAGCTGGCCTTGGCCATCTCGGAGGTGGACCCTGGAAACGGATTCCTGTCTGAATCCTGCTCTATCCAAGATGGTGTGTGAGGCTGAAGAGTAGTTTCCTCATCTATAAAATGGGTACAATCATAATACCTCCTGCATTACAGCATCCGATAGAGGGTGCTGAGGGATGGACAACGGGCCTAACAGGCAGGAGCATGGATGTTTGTCGTCCTGGTGATGGGCTTGGAAGGATCCCTGGACGCCTGCCTTCTGGCCTCACCGCTCCCCAGCGAAGTGATCTGGTGCCTCTGGCCTCAGCTCCTGAGGAGGAACCTGGGGATGGTCAACCTGTCCTGTCTCTCTGCCTGCTCGGAGTCCTCTCCCAAGTGGGTGGGGCGTCGGGGGGTGGGGTGGGGGCTCTTTCCAACTCCACTTCCTGGACTTTTCCCCTCCCAGGAATTGGCTCATCCCTCGTTTCCAACCCTTCTGACCTCCCTCATGGTCTGAGTTTTCAAAGGACCCTTCCCTGTGCCTGCTCTGGGTCAGTGCTGCAGCCCAGGCATTGCTCATCTCAGAGAGGAGAAGGAATTCTCCAGGACCAGCAGGTGCTGGGAACAGAGCTGGGCTCACACCCAGTCTGCCGATTCAGGCGGCCTTCACATGGTGTCATTTGAGCAGTTACCTCCCCCTTCCCAAACCCTTCCTCTCACCCTCCCCTTACTTCCTTGGGCTGCTGTCTCTTTCCTGGTCCCCTTCCTCCTGAGGACAGCAGAGCAGGCTGAGCTGTGGAAACCTCCCAGATTTGAACTCTTAACTCCACCCCTTTAACTCCTTGTATGGGGTCTTTATCTGAGGACTGGCTCTCTGAACCTCAGTTTTCTAGTGTGTGAAGTGGGGATAATTCCACCTTACAGGGTTGCATTAAAGATTCAGTGAGAAATGACATGGTTTGCCCTCAGCAAGTGTTAGTGTTGAAGTTGAGTTTGGGCTTTGGGCTTGAAATTATGGGTTCGAATCTTGGCTCTTATACCTGCTTGCTCTTTGGACTCAGTTATGTGATTTTGCCTCACTGGGCCTCAGTATCTTTGTAAATGGAATGATAAAGTGATCTACTTTTGCCGAAACCGGTTTGGCTCAATGGATAGAGCGTCGGCTTGGGGGCTGAAAGGTCCCGGGTTCGATTCTGGTCAAGGGCATGTACCTTGGTTGTGAGCATATCCCCAGTAGGGGGTGTGCAAGAGGCAGCTGATCGATGACTCTCTCTCATCGATGTTTCTAACTCTCTATCTCTCTCCCTTCCTCTCTGTACAAAATCAATAAAATATATTAAAAAAATAAAAAATAAATAAAGTGATCTACTTTCTAGGTTCTTGTGAGGATTAACGAGAATATTTTATGCAAAGCTTGCTACCATAGGGCTCAGTACATAATGGAAAATGTTAGTTTTGCCCTTTATTAACTATAAAAATAATGGTCCCGCCGGCACCGGTTTGGCTCAGTGGATAGAGCATCGGCCTGCGGACTGAAAGGTCCCGGGTTCGATTCTGGTCAAGGGCATGTACCTTGGTTTTGGGCACATCCCCAGTAGGGGGTGTGCAAGAGGCAGCTGGTTGATGATTCTCTCTCATCGACGTTTCTAACTCTCTATCTCTCTCTCTTCCTCTCAGTGAAAAATCAATAAAATATATTTAAAAAAAAAAAAATAATGGTCCCGCTGGAGTGGCTCAATGGTTGAGCATCAACCTATGAACTAGGAGGCCACCGTTGGATTTCCTGTCAGGGCATGTGCCTGGGTTGCATGTGGGGTGCAGGGGCAGCTCATCAGTGATTCTCATCATTGATGTTTCAGTCTCCCCCTCTCCCTTCCTCTCTGAAAACAATAAAAATATTTTTTATTTTTAAAAATCTATATTTTATTGATTTTTTTACAGAGAGGAAGAGAGAGGGATAGAGAGTTAGAAACATTGATGAGAGAGAGACATCAATCAGCTGCCTCTTGCACACCCCCTACTGGGGATGTGCCCTCAACCAAGGTACATGCCCTTGACCGGAATGGAACCTGGGACCTTTCAAGTCCACAGGTCGACGCTCTATCCACTGAGCCAAACCGGTTTTGGCTAAAAATATATTTTAAAAAAATAATGGTTGATGGCAGGACCCGCAGCCCCTTGCTGGGTCCGTGGGAGAGGGGCTGTTGCCATGGAGGCCTGTTGCCGTGGTGGCCTGCCCAGCAGGTCTGAGCGCCTGTCCTCCTCCCGCCAGAGCTGCCTGAGAACTGGACGGACACCCGGGAGACGCTGCTCGAGGGGATGCTCTTCAGCCTCAAGTACCTGGGCATGACGCTGGTGGAGCAGCCCAAGGGCGAGGAGATGTCCGCGGCCGCCGTCAAGAGGATCGTGGCCACGGTGAGCCTCCGTGGGGGCAGCCGGTCCAGCCTCTTCCCGGGGTGCTGCCTGTCCCCCTTGTTACCCCCCCTTGTCACCCCAATTGGATGTGTCTGGCCTGTCCCCGCCATTGAGTCCCCTTGCATCTGCCTCGGAGACTCTGGGAAAGGGTAGCAATTGGACTTGCGGGGTGAGGGTCAGTGTCCTCCCCTCTAGCAGTTGTGGCCATGTCCTCTCCCAGCCTCTCCCCCACCCCCCACCTCGAGTCCCCTGCCCAACAGCCGGTGACTTAGTGCGAGGAAGGGATGGGGGAGGTTACTGTCAACCAACCACTTGCTGTGTGGCCTGTGGGGTAGCTCAGCACACCAGAGACCAGATTTCCCCTCCCCTGCTCTGAGTGAGCGTGGCCCTGTAAACCCGCCTCCCTGTTGATCTCAGACCCCTCGGCTCAGGCCCTAGCGGGGTCCGCAGGTAGAGCAGAGTCCCCAGAAGTCTTCACTGGGTTGTGGCAGCTCACGCAGAGCTCAGCGTGTGAGGTCCTTCTAGCTGTGTGTTTCTGGGCCGGTCCCTTAACCTCTCTGGTCCTCCTCCTGGGGAGAAGCACTGCTGCCTGTGATGACTCGAGGACCAGTGCTCGGCAGACAGCGGCTGCTCAGTGAGAAGCAGTTGTCCCTATTTTTATTAGAAGAAGGTGTTGGCTGAAATGCCTTCTGAATCACGCCTTCCAGTCACCTAAGCTGAGGCCTCCCAGGGGCCTGAAGTGTGGGGGCTGGAGCAGTTGGATGAGGCCATGAGGGTAGGTCCCAAGCGAGGTAGGCAGGCTCCTTTGACCCGTGTCTACCCCAAGGCCAAGGCCAGCGGGAAGAAGCTGCAGAAGGTGACTCTCAAGGTGTCCCCACGGGGGATCATCCTGACCGACGGCATCACCAACCAGCTCATTGAGAACGTGTCCATTTACAGGTGAGCCCAGCACCACCACCTTCACCCTGCCAACTGGGGCGTGGGCAGAGTGCCCTGCCTGAGGCCAGCCGGGCTATGCCACGCCCTGTCGAATGACCTTGGAGCCTCAGTTTCCTCATCTGTAAATTGAGGTGGAAACAGATCCTGCCTCTTGAGGCTGTTAGGAAGCACTGAGTGCACAGCACTGGGCTCACGATGGGCACTTGGTTCAATGGCAGCAGCTGCTGCTGTGATCCCTCATTGCAGCAGGCACTGAGGCCTGACCAGGCCTGCAAACCGCCTCTCCAGCCCCTCCTCCCCTCCCAAGCCTCCTGCTGAGTCAGGCTTGGAGCAGACAGCTGCTGAGTCATGGTCCTTTCCTTGCGCTGTGAATGCAGCAGCTCTGCCTGGACATCTGGCCAGGCATCCAGGGAAGCCACTGAAGTAACGGGTGTATCTGAAGGCAGAGCCTGAGGCCAGAATGTAGACGGTGTCAGCTTGGGTGGGTGCCTGTTCACGAGAGGCAGAGCCAGCCCCGGGGCCTCAGGCTGTCCCCATCCTCTTAGCTGGTCAGTTACAGGATTTCAGAGCTGGTCAGTCAGCAGAGACTCATATTACAAACGGAGAATCCGAGGCCCAGAGAGGCCTTGAGTCCCCCAAGGCCGCACATGAGGTAGTGGCTAAGCTGGGGCCAGGACACCAAGGCCGGAGTCCTGTCCAGCAGGCCCTGGTCTGCCAGGCATCCCTCTGCCATATTGCTTTGTATCTAAGCAGGTGGCTTAGCAGGTTGGGGCATGTGCCAGTACTGGGGTTGGGGTAGTTTTAGAGTTTCTGGCTGCTATTTTTCACCTTCTTGGTTTTGTCTGCCTCCTTTACCCAGGTGAGGCATCAGACCCAGCCCTGCCCTCAAGGAGCTTCCAGTCTAGGAGGGACTGAGAGGAGGAAATAGGAGATAGAGTATAAGTGTTTCCCAAGAGGGCACACTAGGGGAGGGTGTCTGCTGAACCGTCTCCATTCTGAGCTGCCAGTTCCTCTACTGATTGCAGCTCCCAGCACGATGAGCCAGCATGGAGGGTCAAACAGGGAGGAGAGTGCCTAAGATGAGGGAGTCCTGGACCCCTGGGGCTCCTGGGCTGGCCGTCTCCACACATCCTCACCCCGCTCCCACCATTCCACTCCGCCTTGCTCTGGGAGAATCTGCTGGCAGCCTCGGTCGCTCTGGGAGGGCCAGTCCTGGAACCCCTGTGGCCTCTGGTCAGGGGCCTGAGGGCAGCTAGGGGAAGGGGAGGCCGGCTAACGGGTCTCAGTGGGTGGGCGGTGTCTGGTTTCCCATCCACCTGTTAACACAAACCCTTGAGAGGTAGCATGGCAGTGGGTACGGCCTCTGGCATCAGCGGGTGAGGTCAGGTCTCAGCTCTGCCACTAGCGTGGTGGTCTGAGACTGCTAGCTTCAGTCTTCTCATCGGAAAAGTGGGAAGAATAATAAGACCCTCCTCGGGGGCAGCTCTGCGTTAAATGAGGTGATAGCTGAGCATTGCCTGGTGCACAGTAAGGGCTCAGCTATTACAGGTTTGGGGTGTGGCTCCATAGAGGAGGGAAGTGCCCTGTCTCCAGTCTTTCCCCCAGGCCTCTGGCATGGTTGGCCCAGGAGGCCAGGCTCAGAGGCCAAGGCCGTCTCTCTGGACCGTGCACCGGTGGAGTGGGGGAGCAGGCTCTCTGGAACCCAGGGGAGATGCAGTACGGCTGTTCTGGATGTCGTCAGGCATCTCCCACTTGCCTTTCAGGATCTCCTACTGCACAGCAGACAAGATGCACGGCAAAGTGTTTGCCTACATCGCCCAGAGCCAGCACAACGAGAATCTCGAGTGCCACGCCTTCCTCTGCACCAAGCGGAAAATGGTCAGTGGGGAGAGGCCCGGGCTTGGGCAGGCTCTGCTCGCCTTGGTGGCCCTGTCTGGTGGGAAGGCAGAGCCAAGGTGACACATCACTCAAAATAGGAAATCCTGGGAATCCCAAGCGGGCGGTAAGAGCGGAGGGCAGAGTGGGCTGTGAGCAGTGACAAGCCTGTGTCCCCAGTGGTTGCCGGACCTGCCTCTCTAACATGATTTGGATCTGAGATGCTCGTGTTTCCTGGTAATCGTATGGTCTGGAGGTGCAGGGCCTTGCAGGGATTCGTCCTTGGAGATTGGTGGTCGAGGGGCCCAGAGTGAAGGGATCAGTGAGAGCCTCGGAGGACCCGGCTTCCTGTGGCCAGAACGGGGAGGGAATGGCCGTTTTGGTTGCTTGTTTCAGAGGCAGGCTTGAAGGTGTCTTCTCATTTAACACACCAGTGCTGTGGGTGGGAGCTGAACTGTCTTCATTGTTTTTATTTATTTTTATTGATTTCAGAGAGTAAGGAAGAGGGGGGGAGAGAGAGAAACATCCATGATGAGAGAGAACCATGGATCGGCTGCCCCCGCAAGTCCCCTTCTGGGGATCGAGCCCACAACCCAGGCATGTGCCCTTGACCGGAATCTGGAACATTTGCAGGCTGATGTTCCACCCACTGAGCCAAACCAGCCAGGGCTTTTTTTTTATTTTTAATGAGAAAACAGACTCCCAGGTCAGCTGGCTTTTTTAAGATGACACAGCTAGCCAGGCAGAGGAGGGTCTAAACCCCGGGTACCGCCCCTCCCGGCATGACTGTGAGGGGCAGGGACTCCTGGCCATTTCCAGCCCCCGCCACACCTCGCGGGGACCACCCGAGGCCTCTGGGCTTGTCTTGAGCTTTGGGGCAGGCATCAGGGGGTGAGTCAGCCTTTGGTACTGGAAGCCCCTTCATTTCCAAGGCCCCCAAAGCCTGACCATTTGCCCTGGAAAGAGGTTCCAGACATTTACTGGTTTCATAGTGGCCTCTGTTAATCTGTATAGGGAGCCCGAGCCCTATGGGGCATCCCCTCCCCATCATCCAGGACATCACAGCCTTTACACGGACCCCCAGACTTCCTGCTATACCCATCAGCCATGCTCTAGATATAGATTTCCTATTGTTGCTGGAGGAAATTACCACAAACTCAGTGTTTGAAACAGCCCAGATTTATTCTTGTCTGGTTCTGGAGGTCAGACGTCTGAAAGGGGCCGACAGTGCTGCTCTCCTGAAGGTCCCCGGGGAGGCACCTTTTCTTGCCATTCACAGTTTTAGAGACCTTCCGCCTGCCTGGGTTCGTGACCCCCTTCTCCAGCCATGGGGTTAGCAGTGTGGCATTTGCCAGGCTCCCCCTCTGCTTCCCTCTCATATGGCCGCTTGTGATCGGGCCCATGGGTACCCAGGACAATCCCCCATCTCAGAAATCCTCCACTTAGTCACATCTGCAAAGTCCCTTTTGCCTTGTGCGGTGAGGTTCCCAGGTTCCAGGGATTAGAATGTGGAGCTCTTCGGGGTCACAGGTCAGCCGCCCGCAGGTCCCTCGGAGGGAGCACTGCAGGAGAAGGCAGACGTGGGTCGGATCCCAGCGCATGTGCTCACTGTGTGACCGTGGACAAGACCCGGCCCTCTCTGGCTGCTTGCCCAGCAGCAGATCGGGATTGTTCCGAGAGGCCCAGTTTCTTTTGTGCACCCTGATTCTTTCCCGCAGGCTCGGTGTCACTGGCCACTCGCCGGTGCCTCGTGACGCCCTGAGCTGCGGTGGCTCCTCCCGTGACAGCGGCCTCCTGGCTTTGTTTCTTAGGAGGCCACAGAGACTTAAAACACAGGCTCATCACCTCCCCATTGTTTGTCTCTTCCTCCCCAGTGACCAGAGCAGGCGCTGGGCAGGGCAGCTCGCCATGGCCATTGCTGCGGGGTTCTTCTGGGAAGGGAGGGTGGGGGATAAAAGAAAGCGGATGCTGGCCCAGCGGTGAAGGGAGGCCTAGACCGGTATGCAAGGCCCAGGGCCCCGACCGAAATCAGCCCGTCCACGCCCAGAGGTCAGCTACTGAGGAAACAGCCCAGCCACTGCCTCATGCTGACAGCAGAGAGCCGATGGGCACAGGCACAGATGCCCACTCTTTTTTATTTATTTTTTATTTTATATTTTATTGATTTTTTTTACAGAGAGGAAGGGAGAGGGACAGAGAGTTAGAAACATTGATGAGAGAGAAACATCGATCAACTGCCTCCTGCACACCCCCCACTGGGAATGTGCCCGCAACCAAGGTACATGCCCTGGACCGGAATCGAACCTGGGACCTTTCAGTCCGTAGGCCGATGCTCTATCCACTGAGCCAAACTGGTTTCGGCAGATGCCCGCTCTTTTTGGCAGGCTTTCATCCATGTCTGGGATGACGGGATCACAGCTTGTCCTCCTCCTCTCCCTGCCCGCCCCCCCTCCCCCAGCCTCCTCCAGGGAGCCCTGGGGAAGCCCCTGAGGAGGAGCTAGCCCAGCCAAAGGGGGTGTAAACTGACTATCTGATGCAAGGATGGGGTTCTTGTGGTCCCCAAGGCCTCGGCCGAGCCCTGGCCGGTCTGGTGCCTGGCCACGATGGAAATTCCAAGGTTCTTGGGGAGGAGGCAGGAGGTGAAATGGTGCCTCAGGTTTTGCAACCCACCTGCTGACAGGTACCCCACAGATGTGTGCTGCTATCTGTCCTGGGCTGAGCCCTGCACAGGGCTCTGGGACCCAGGAGATCAGCCATGGGGATATGAACAGGTGGTGGGGGAGGAGGGGCCGGATTCAGTAACTGGAGTGCAGGGTCTCGGTTCTAGTGTCGAGGTTAGTAAGTCTCACTGGAAGTCCGCAAGACTTTCCAGAGAAGGAGATGTTTTGAATTGGGCTTTGAAGGTTGAGTAGTAGGTAGGCGTTTGCCAGGCCAGGAGAAAGGGGATGGGATGGCGAGAGGGTGAGCACAGAAAGTAGCAGGTGCAAAGGCACAGAGGTGCAAACGCAGTGGAGTGAACGGCAGCTGAGGAGCCCGGAGGGTGGCAAGGTCCTGTCCTGCAGGGGAGCCTTGACTTGGATGCTGACACAGCCCTCACTCCTTCTGGCCTGGGGCCTCAGTCCCTGCATCCTCGCCCTGATGCCTGAATGAGCCAGATGCCTGTGACCCATCCGGGGTGGGAGGCAAGGGGTTCTTTTCTGGGTTGCTCACCAGTTCAGCTCAGCTCAGGCAGTACCAGGCCTCCCCTCCCCAGTGCCCCCGCCCCTCCCCAGGATTAATTTCTACAAAGAAACGTTTCCATCTGCCCAACTGGGACGCCTCAGCGAGCACTTCATCCTGGGTGAAGGTGGAGCTGCTGACGGGCGCCCAGGGTTTCAGTGCAGGTGTGCCGGCAGTGAGCGAAGTGATCCCCTTAATCCTGCTCTGGGCGGGGCCATGGGGGAGGGGGTAGACTCAGAGCTGTTCTCCCTCACATGGCCATGGCATTTCTCAGGTGATCCTTTTGTGCAAAGGTTTAAGCTTCAGGGGCTGCCTTAGTCTGAGTCCTGGGATCCCAGGGCCCTGGCCCAGCTCTGCAGCCCTAAGCTGGTCCTGGCCCCTCGGAGAACTAACAGCCTGGTTACCGGCAAGAAAAAATGAAGGTGGAACCTGGTCAGGGCAATCAGACAGGCCTCAGGCTGACCCACTCAGAGGGATAGACAGGCTTTTGTCCTGTGGAATCCAGGGAGACTCCGCCTCTCCCCCCCCTGGCCACCCCCCATACCTGTGGGCGGGCTGGAGCGGTCCTTTCTTCGGATGCTGCCTAGATTCCTGCAGCCGCCCCCGAAAGCGGGGTCCAGCCCCTCCCAGTTGGCCAGCCTGGGCTTGTAGCCGCCTGTACACTTCCCAGTCTCAGGGTTATACTTGGTTTAACTAGTAGCTCAGGACTTTAGGGAGAAAGGGCAGGAGTGTATGCAAATGAACAAGCAGATTAATGCAAACGCAGGCTTGTGCCCCCAGAGTTCCCGAAGGCAAAAATCTCGGTGTCTCCATCTCCTGCCACAGTGCTGGCCAGCCTTGCCTGGTGTGTACTGACGGACTCGGGCTGGTAATTAGTCCATATTTTTAGTTCATGGGCAATTCTCAATGGTAACGGAGTCTATTCAATTTGATTCAGTTGTGACAGCTTAAATTGTAAACAGCTGCGAAGAGTTTCATACTTAATTACCATATTTAAGTTTTGCCATAAAGTCCCCCGTACTTCCATCAGAAATGTAAATGATGGAGACATTCAAATGAGATTTTATACTTCGTGAAGTTTAATTGGCATGGATCAGTCAGCTTGTTTAGGGGTTTTAAATTAAAGAGAAAAAAAAGTTTTAAAGGCAGTAGCCATGGATTCATTTCCCAATTAAATTGAGTTGTCTGGCGAGAGGAAGGGAGCGGGGCCGAGGCTGGTTAAGCCTGAACTTGTACACTCGAAAGGGTCTGGTGCTTCCTTCCCCCGGCCCGGCTCTCGGCCCGGCTCTCGGGAGGAAGCGAGCTGTCGTCTCCAGCCATAGCTGCGGCTCTGGGCTCGCACTCCCTGAAGCTGAGCTGAGGAGCTGGACTCCGATCAGAGAGGAGGGGGCCGAGGGGAATGTGGCAGGGTAGGTCCTGGCGGGACTATGAGGCCTCAGAATGCCTGCCTCCTGGGAAAACGCAGTTCAGCCGGCGTGTTGCCACTCTGGAGGGCTCTGGGAATCAGGGGTGATTCCTGCCTGTGGGGAGCACCCAGGTGGGGTGACACAGGCATGTGAGCTGGTGACATGAGAGGGGGGGATGCTTGAGTTGGGCTGGAAGAGTGGGTGCGAGTGGCCCCGCCTTATAGGTGGGTGATGGCCCTGAGGAGTTTTCCCCCTGGCCACGGTGTTCACGGACAGCTGGCTTCTGTCAGGAAATGTATCGGCTCCCTACGGCCTTTGTGGGGTTCAGTTATAGGCCCTCTGCCTCTGTGCAATCCTAACCAGTCTTTGCCCCCGAGGCTCATTCAGACCGTGGTCAGACCCTTTCCAACGCTGGCTTTTCTGTTTCCTAACTCCACGGTTAAGTAATGTGTGAAGCCCTTGAGGAGTTGGGGAGGGCTTCTCAGAAGAAGTCAGCCTCACAGTTAAGTGACTTTAGGAAAGCCCAAAGGGAATGGGGGAAAGTGGAGGTGAACAGCCATGGCCAACGTCCGGGCTGGAATGAGGGTGGGAGCCTTGGCCGGGCTGCGGTGAAGAGGGGCCCCAGCTGCCTGGGGAGGGTGTGGCCTCTTTATAACGCGGCTGCTGTGTGACCTGGGCGGGCCAGGACTCTGCCGCCATCCATCAGGCATTCCAGAGCCTTGGGATGGAGCCAGGTGGGCCTCCCCAGGAGCCCCCGACCTCCAGTTCAGACTTGCTGTTACCCCCTCATGCTGCCCCCCTCATCTGAACTCACTTCCTGTTTTTCAGGCTCAGGCTGTCACCCTCACCGTAGCCCAGGCCTTCAAAGTTGCCTTTGAGTTTTGGCAGGTGTCCAAGGAAGGTGAGGCTTGTTCACAGACATTGTGAGTGGGCGGGGTAGGGCAGCGCCGGAGAAGGCTGGCTGGGCGGAGAAGGCTGGCTGGGCGGTGTGGGCTGGGAAGGGGGCGGGAAGGCCTGGACTGACTCCCACCTCCGTCACCTCCCCAGTTTGTGACTTCAAACAGGCACCTTGCGGGGATGACCTGGAACCTGCAGGTCCTTTCCTCCTGCTGGAGGCAGACCTGCCCCCTGAGGCTGGCCACAGCCCCCTCCCTGCCCCACAGCTGCTGGGGATGGAGCACTGGGGGCAGAGGCACTAACGCTGTGCCTTGATCCCACAGAGAAGGAGAAGAGGGAGAAAGCCAGCCAAGAGGGAGGGGACGGCCTGGGCGGGGGCCGCGGCGGCAGCACCCCCTCACTGAAGAACCGTGAGTCTTGGGCAGGGGCGGGGCTGGGGGCAGCTGCGGTCTTGGGGTCGGCCCTTCACCTGGAGGCCCTGCTCCCTCCTGGGTGGGAGCTAACTCTTGTTTTTTTTTTTTTTTTTTACTTTTACTTCTTGTTAAATTCATAACACATGGTCGTTACAGATAGATTAGAAAATGGAGACAAAAGGGAAAGTTACTCATTATAGTGCACGTTCTCCTTGTGCAAAACTATGAGCATATGCAGACCTCTCTCCGTCTGCACTTCACATGCGGTCTGGGATCCCTCACTGAACTTCACACCTGTTGTGAGCGTAAACCACTAGCTGGGGAGAGGTTCTCACGTCGAGGGCAGCTGTTGGCTGCTTTAGAGCGGTCCTTTCCTCTGATGCTGGGTGTTCTGGGTGGGGCTCTGGGTGTTCTGGGTAACAGACCTGGGAAAGGCCGTGTCCAAAGAGAGAGTTGGGGCCAGGACAGACCAGGAGGCTCCAGGAGGGACGAGGAGATGAGGCTCCTCTCCCACTGACGCCTCTGACTGGACCCTTCGTAGTGGTCGCCACTGGAAACCTGCTGGACTTGGAAGAGATGGCCAAGGCCCCGCTGTCCACAGTCAGCGCTAACACCGCTAACGTCGACGAGGCCCCGAGGCCTCCAGCCCTGAGTAGCAGCAGTGTCGTCTGGGTGAGTGTTCGTGTGGCCTGCTGACCCCACGGAGACAAGTGAGCCTTATCCCCGGAGGAGGCCCCAGGGCGGTCCAGGGCCTGGCGCCCATGACTTCCAGGCCTCTGGGCGGGCCAGCCCCAGCCCAGCAGCTCCCAGGCCCAGGGTGGGCGATGAACAATGTCCCCTTTGAACCCAGGGCTACGTCCCCACCAGGCTTGGCTCCCAGTACAGCTGTCTCCTCACAATGCCCGGCCTCTTGGCCTGAGCATCCCAGACCGCAGGACGGGCCAAAGGCCCCCTTGTTCTCAGGGTGGGCAGAGTTTGCGCCTGACCCGCCGCCCCCCTCGCCGTCTGAATGAGGAGTCTGAGACCTGGGCGGCCAGCAGCTGGCCCCTGACACGCTCTGCAGGCCCCTGACCTCGGTGTGTCTCAGCTTTTTCATCTCTCAGTGAGGAGGATGGCCTGCCTGCAGAGTCTCCCAGAGAAATCTGACTTTTTAAATTAAAAAAAGTTTCTTATTTGGAAATAGTTTTAGAATTATAAAATGTTACAAAAATAGGACAAAGAATTCCTGTTCACCCTTCATCCAGATTCTCCAAATCCTGGCATCTTACGTGATCACATTGCAGTGATCAAAACCATTAACATCAGCCCGACACTGTTACATAACCTCCATAGTCTCCAATGTCGTTTTCCTGGTCCAGACTCCACTGCAGAATCACACACGACTTGTCATGTCTCTTTAAGAAACTCTGGCACCTTGAAGGACACGAAAGGCTGTCCAATGCCTCTGCCTGTCGGGGCCACCCAGGTCCGCCAGGCAGGCGCACTGAGCCTGTCCCCCACCCCTGTGTCTGGAGCCACCCTTGGCACCCACCCAGGCTCTCCAGGAGACCCATTGTCTCCCACCTCAGCTCTTATCCCCCGAGCTTGGAATTTGGGCTGGGCTTTTGGAAGGGGATGAAAGCAAGAAAACCTTCCCCGCCCTCTTCCTCTCAGAATTGGAAAATCTTAGCAGCCGTTAGTCTAACCCTCTCATTTGATGGAAGGAAAAGCTGAGTCTCAAAGAGGAGGAGTGACCTGCTTAAGGGGTCACTGGAGTAACGACAGAGCTGGGAATTGAACCCACCCAGGTGTCTTGGCCCCAGGTGCCCTTCTCCTGTCCCTCCCCAGGTGTGGGTCCGTGGGTGGAGATGCTGGTGGCAGTAGCTCGGCGGAGGCCTGCCTCAGCCTTTTCCTCCAGGCGCCCACCAGGCTCTTATGCTTGTTCTGAGTCCCCGTACCTCACCCAGGGCGGAGACAAGTCCCAGCCCTGAGCCCGGCTCCCCCGCCTGGCCTCATATCTCCCGCTTTGTTTTCCCCAAGGAGCTGGATGACGACCTGGATGAAGCATTTTCAAGGTAACGTTAACTGGGCTCCTTGTACTGGGGAGGGAGGCCTGGCTTTTGTGGGCAGGTCTCTGGGGACCTTTGCCAACTCTGAGCGTCTCCAGAACAAAAATCTCAGCTTGAATAACTCCAGGGGTGGGGAGCTCTCTACCTGGGGTTGGCCTTGTCTGCTAGAAAGCTCTTGCTAGTAAGTAAACAACAGTTCCTAGTGGCTGCTTCACCACAGTCTGAGCTGAACTAAATACACTGCTGCGGCTGAGGCTGATTTCCTCTTCCTGCCCCTGGTATAACCTTCAAAGGTTGGCTTTTAAATTATATATATATATATATATATATATATAGACTTCAGAGAGGAATGGAGAGGAAGAGGGATCAATGATGAGAGAGACTCATTGATCAGCTGCCTCCTGCACACCCCACTCTGGGGATTGAACCTGCAACCCAAGCCTGTGCCCCAGCCAGGACTCCAAATGTGACCTCCTGGTTCATAGGTTGATGCTCAACCACTGAGTTACCATGGCCGGGCCCAAAACTGGCTTTTTTTTGCAGCCTTTGTTCCCTCCAGAGGTTTTCCGTTTATAGGGAAGGTCAGGGAGAAGGTATTGCTCACTTAAGCCCTCCCACTACCTAGAGCGAGGAATTGTTTGTGTCTAGCCTGAACGGTGGCTGTTCCCCATCTTCCCAGCCATCCCTGTACCCATGGCTGCCTGGGGTCCCAGGGAGGCCTCCTTTTCTCCCTGGGAGCAGCCCCCTCCATCCCTCTCCCCCCTCCCCAGGTCCTTCCTGCCAGAGCCTGGTGGGAGCCCCTGGCCCTGAAGGTGGGGGCAGCCTGTGTGGCTCCTCCTTTTACTGTCTTCCCGGCTTTCCCGGCTGACTACCTCCCCGTCATTAGAAGAAAATCTTCCATTTACTTTTTCCAGATTACCCAAGAACCATGTTCCTTTTATTAAAAACTTCAAAAATCAGCAAAGCATTAAATTGGAAATGATACCATCCCATCGTCCCACAGCCCAGACTTTTAGGCTTAATCCTATCCGTATACATTTTTGTTGTTGTTGTTGCATTGATCAGCTTGTCATGTTTGCATTTGGGATCCTGATATCCACTTTTGACACTGACCTACCAGGAGCAACTCCCCAGGTGTCGACAATGCCTTGGGCACACATTTCATCCTTTGCCTGGCATTCTTTGGGACATGGCTGTAATTTACATAACTCGCCCCTTGGGTTGCCCCCTTTTTAAATTGCTTTTTGAAGAGACTGTGTTGCACACAGTTATAGCCAATAGTCTCGGGTTGTGCCCCCCCCTCCCCCGTGTGCCCTCTGGTGCCCTCTCTAGCTCGGCCCTTCCCCTTTCTTGGGCATTTCCTATCGGAGCCGTGGGTGGTGTGTGTGCCCCGGCCTCTCTGTGGAGAGAAGCTTCCTGAGTCATTTACCCTCAAGGGTAAGCTCTCTGCTCAGAGACTCCACCTTTCCTGACATCTGGGACCTTCTCCTTTGGCCCCATGTCCTGGCATCTTCCCCCTTGCACCCTCTTCCTTCAGACCCTGGTGCTGGCCGGGCTGGACTGGCTCCTCAGGCCCCCGCCAGCCCCTTGCTTGCACCTCGGCTCACACAGCTCTGCCTTCCAGGCTCGCCCAGTCCCGGACGAACCCCCAGGTCCTGGACACCGGCCTGACGGCCCAGGACATCCACTACGCCCAGTGCCTCTCGCCCGTCGACTGGGACCAGCCCGACAGCGGCAGCCCCAAGCAGGAGGACCTCTTCAGCTTCTGAGCCAGCTGGTGGGCGTGACCACAGCCACCTGCCGGCGGGGCGGGGCAGCCCCGGGCCCCAGCCCCCCTTTCCGGTGGGCAGCCTGTCAGCCTGCAGGTCAGAGCTGCCGCCAGCCAAGCAGAGAGCAGGAGCCGTGTTCTCCAACCCCGCTCTCTAAGGACTGAAAGGGGCCTTGAGTATTTATTCAGCGACTTCTGGTTCAGCTCGGAAGCTGGGTGTGTGTCAGCCACGAACAGTGTGACAGCCAGCTTCCTGCCTCCTCCCGAGCAAGCCCTGCTCCGCCGTGGGTGTCTCGTCCCTTCTCTCCAAGGACCCAGTCTCCCCGGCGGCGGCTCTGCCCCTCACTGACAGCAGCAGAGCCCTCGTTTCTGTCTTCTGAGCATAGGAGGGCAAGCAGCCTCCACAGAGGACTGCCCCCCCCCGCTCCGGCCCATCTGCTGCAGGGGCCCCAGCAGGCCTGGGCGTGCGCCCCCCGCCTGGGGGTGCTCAGAGACGGAGGGGCAGCCCCCGACCAAAGACGGCATAGCTGGCACTTTAAAGCACACACGGCAGGGGTGGCTCGCAGGCTGCCCCATGGCGCTGCCGTGCAGAGCTTCCTGCTGCCCTTCGGCGAGCAGGGGCCCAAGTCCCATCGGAGGTCCCGTCAGTGCGCCCAGCCAGGGCAGGGCGACCGGCCGCCCACGGACTCCCAGAGTCTTGACTGTGTGACTGCCCTTTGTCAGCGCACCCCACTCCACCCCACCCACCCCCGTCCCCCGTACGGATGAGCTGTGCTCACTCTTCCCTTTTGTCTGTGTCTGTGTGCGTGTCCCTGAGCCTCGTCCTCATACTTCCTGGATTTGAGGAAGAATATCGTTGTCTTTTTATAGATGAGAAAACCGAGGCCACCAGCATGGAAGGGGTAGAGTCTAGAGCAGAACCCAGGCCTGATGCCAAAGCTGCCTTCTTACCTGCGCCTCCCACAGTTCACACATCCTCTTTTATAGCTTCGTTGTCTCCCCAGGAACCAAAAAGCCCAGCTATTTTCCGACCAAAATGTGTTTTGTAACAACCATCTGGTGCCTTTCCACACGGAACTGGCAGGAGCCTCCTTGCTTGCTGCCTTGTTGCTATTGATTTCCGTGAAAATGGAATTGTTTGAAGACTGTTCGTTGGGACGGTTAAACAAAACCAAACTCCGAGCATCTGGACACTCTGACCCCCGGGTCAGGACACACCAGCGGCCAGATATTTTCAGGGTGTTCCTTCCTGCCTCTTTCAAGCCCACAGGGCGCCCGCATCCTGACGCCAGCCAAGCTGCCAGCACCTTCTCCGCCTCAGGTGCCTCCCCGGCCTGGCTTTGCTAACCTCCATTCAGACGCTGCTGGTAGTTGGAGCAGCCCAGGAAAAACACACCGTTTCTTAGAATCCACTTATCTAAGCGCTTAAACCAAAATACAAAGAAGTGCCTCAGTGAGAGGAGGGTGGGGTTTGCAGGGTCTTATCAGGATATAACAGCCTTTCCCTGCCCAGCTCCTACACCCCCGCTGCCCTTCCCAGGCCGGTACCAAGGCCATGACACAGGTCCTTGCTGCCAGGGTCCATCCAGGAGGCTGGGCTGTGAGTGGGACCTGGCCACCAGCGGTGGGTGTGCTCCCTGTGTGTGCACAGATAAGTCTTCTTGTGCTTTTCTTTGTGTTGCTGTCAAGGAATTTATAAGGAAAGGGATAAGTAATAAATGTTCTCGTTTTGAATACAAAGAGCATGTGATGGAGTGCCTGCCCTTTGGGGTTGGAGCAGCAGTGACCTGGGCCCAGAAGTGGGAGATAAGGTCTTTGGTCCTAGAAGGACCCCTTTTCACCAGCAGGTGGGGATGTGATGAGGTCATCTCTGGACCGCTCAGCTTGCCAGCTCTGAAGAGTCTGGGCTTCCTAACCAGGGTATGCAAACCCCCAGAATTGGCATACGATTGTGTATTTCTATGTACATTTTCCTTGGGGAGGGTGTTGTCCATCATTTCCATCACATACTCAAGTGGGCGCCCAAAATTTATTCATTGACTGCCAAACGCAGACCGGCCGAGGGCTCAGTGCTGGGCGGCTGTCCAGAGGGCCCAGTGGACTCGGCTGTGTGGCTTGGGTTGACGGGACTGGGAGGGGGCTGGTGGGAACTGTGTTTCAGTGACTTGGGAGACCTCAGGTCTGGCTCTGGCTCTGCCACTAAGGGGTTTGACTTTGGATCAGTTACTCCTTTAGCCTCAGTTTCCCGTCTGGGAAAAGGGTATAATAAGCTTTACCCTTCCTACCTCCCTGGGTTTTGTGAGACTCAGAGGTGACCGTTATCATATTGGTGATGGGTTTGGAGGGCTTAGCTAAAGGTTATCTCGGAGCAAAAGGCGATTTGGACCAAAAGTGTTTACGGATGTCAAAGCGAAACTGATAGCTGACAGTTCCTCTTAACTGAGCTCCACTCTGTGGCCTGGGCTCTGCTTCATCTCATCCTGGTAGCCTGTTGTCCGCAAGCACCAGGGCCCTGCGGCCGGGGAGGGAGGCAGTCACACTGCCAGCACTTGTGAGCCACAGCCCAGACTCGGAAATGTGTGACCCTTGACCCCCTATGCCCTGGCCTCCTGGAGCCACACGGAGCCTGCACGGGAGGGCCGCCCTCCAGGCTCCAGTGGGAGGTCTCCTCGGACTTTCTGCCTTTGTTCCTCTCAAACTGATTCTCCAAACATCCGAACCCAGAGGCAGAGCCCTCTGATGTCAGCCTCGGGAGGATTCGCTGTGAATTCTGAGTGAATCCTAGACTCCTTTCTTCTTCCCCCATAATCTGGAAAGACACCCAACAAGTTCATCTTTCGGTTTAAATTTGGCCAATGTCTTTAGTCTCCCCATGTCTCAAATTATGAATCTCGGGCACCCGCTGTCTGCTCTTTCATGCGTGAGGGAAAAGCTGCGAGAACAAAGTTGCCTTTGAGACTGGATGTGACCAGCTCTGCTGGTGGATGTTGGGGGTCTTCTCTCCCAGGAGGAGATTCCGCCCCCATTAAATCTCTCCAGGGTCTGCCCACAAACTCAGATGGGCACTCTGGGGAAATCTATGCCCTCGGTGCTGGCTTGGGGTTGGAGCTGGTTTGGGATCTGGTCTGTCCCTGGCCACCTGCTGGGTAGGGGTCATAGCAGGTGGCCTGTTTGCTTATTCAAAAGTGAGCCTTTCTCCAGAGCTTACTCCATGTTAGGTTCTTGATATCTCATGTCAGCGTCCTGGTGACCGTGCTCCGAGGCAGATGATGCTAGTCTCAGGTAGGAGATGGGACGACTGACGCAGCCCGTAAGGAGTGGGCCTGGGATTCCAGCCCCAGTCCTGACCCCAGAACTTCTTTCCACGACACCACCGCCCTGTGCAATGAAGGGCAAACCCAAGTGGAGCTGTCCATGCCGTACCCTGCTCTGCCAGCAGCCCAGCCATGGACAGCCTCTGCCGCGGGACGGACAGGACATGCTGACCAGCGGGTGTCTCCGTGGGAGGTTGTCAGGCCTAGGCCAGGCCGGAACCGGGGGCAGGGCTGTCCCCATAGACTGGCTAGAGCAGGTCCTCCCCACCTCACCCCTTTGGGGCTGCTGCTCTGGACTTGCCCAAGTTAGAACTCAGCCCAGACTCGGAAATGTGTGACCCTTGACCCATCACATCAGGGCCTGGTCTTGCCCCAGTAGGCGCTGCCCAGCCTATGGGGTACAGGGTGGGAGGGGGGCCCTGAGCTGACTCAGTGTCTTGCCGGTGGCGGATGCCTCCTCAGAGGGGCCAGGAAGGAGGGGAGCAAGCAGCACCTGCACACGTCAGTTGTTCGAGTGGCTGCAGCGACTCTGCTAGCAGGCAGTCCCAGCCCATTTTAGAGGCGGAGAAACTGAAACCCACGGAGCTAACGCCGGCCTGGGATTCAGTGCCTGTGATCTCTGTCCCGGGTGGCGCTGCCTCAGCAGGGCATGTGAAGTACTTGGACATCACAATGATTTTGCTTAGGAGCTGAGGGTGCACAGAATAGCCTCAGCCAAGGGCCCAGTACCCAGATGCTGGGTCAGGTTGGTGCCTTGCCTTCTAGCATGGACAGGTGTAAGCTCTGTCTCAAGATCTTGTTGCCAAGCAACAATTCTGACTATGCCTGCTGAACCCCTGCATGGGGTGGGCTTCAGGAGTCTGGCTTGGTTTCTTCAGAGCCCAGGGGTTGTGGGTCATGGTGCCCTGGAAAGTTCCTGGGCATGGGCTAGGCATGCACCACACCTGGGGGACATTGGGAGCCAGGGTTGAAGCCAGGGGGTATGTCCCTCTGGGCCTTGGGGGGCAGAAAGGCCGATGTCTGCCTTTGCTAGCCTGCGAGCTCCGAGAGGCCCCGGCCCATGTCTGATTCACCCTGTGGCTCCAGTGTCCTGCACAGAATGGCCGTCAGTGACTCAAGTCAACTTATCAAAACGGGGACAACCAGCCTGGCTTCCTCGGAGAGATTGCTGAGAGACGGGGCAGTCTTAGTCAGCTGGCAGGACCGGCGCCTCTGCAGCTGGATGGACCATTCGCAGTTATCTGTTCCACAGGCAAACCCATCCCCTATGTGCTGAGCTTTGACTAGTTCTCTGCCCTTGGCCCTGGCCTGGCACACCAGCCCAGCCCGGCGTGGTAAAATTGTGGTCCACTCCTCTGCCCTGACCAAAGCTCTTGGTTTTCAAAATGTCCTGAAAGCAGGATTTGGGAAGTGGATGCCGGAAGAGCCCCTAACGGTCCTCAGCCCACCCTCTGTGTGCAGTTGGGGACCGAGGCCCACAGAGGCCAGGACTTCCCCAGGCTGCAGGGCAGGTCCGCAGAGCTGGGATTTGAGCTCTGCTTTTCTGCAGAGCCCATGCCCCGTCCTCCATCACCCCCAGAGGGAGAGAGGCTGTTCCCCGTGTGCTGGAGGTGTGCAGGCTGTGGGGAAGTGGCGGTGATTATGATGAGAGGAGCTGGAGGAAGGACCTTGGTGGATTCTCAAGCAC